TCCACAGAACTGTCCAGGCCAGAATACTGGAGTATTCCTTTTCCTTCTCCAGGGGATCTTCCCAAGCCAGGGATCAAACCCAGGTCTCCCGCATTGCAGGTGGATTCTTTATCGGCTGAGCCACAAAGGAAGCCCAACTTGGACAAGAGGCCTCATTAAATCAGAAAGTCAAGCTTTGAGGGAAAAGCATAGCTCTTGGCAGCCTGTTTGGGCTCAGAAGCCTGGTTTTCTAAAGTCAGTTTCAACACCCTGGTCCCCTCCTGCAGGTGGACTGAGGATGTCCCTCCAGTCCCATTGCTGGGGTCCCGGGGCAAGGGCCCAGAATGGGACTGGGCTTCAGAGATCCAGGAGTCCAGTGGCATGCAGAGCCCTTCTGCAGGGACAGGGATTGGATTTACCGGCCAACGGGAGGGGCCGTCCAGAGGCAGGCAGAGCCCAATGCCTCCTCGGCACCCAGTTACTCCGGGAAAGATGCTGCTGGCCCCTGGCCGGACCTCCTGGGGCTCCCTCTACCCCAGGGACCCCACCTGAAGGTGGCTTTGGCAGCGGAATCACCCTCTTCCCCCCGTCAGAGACCTAACGACTGCGGGTGGAGCCAGCTCCAAGCCTGCTGGCTGGAGAGAGATGGACGGGCACAGCCGGAGGCTCGGGGACCCGGGGTGGGGGGGTGAGCGGAGGCGGAGCAGAGACTGCAGCTGTCCCGACACACCTGTGCGCGCATCTCACCGGGCAGACACTGGGCGCGGGGCCCATCTCCTAGGGTTGAGCATCGTCCCTCCCCAAAGAAGAACGGCCACAGCACGGGGGTCCCACCGGCAGCCTGCAGGCACGCCCAGGTGGTGTGGGTTTATTCATCAGGAGGCTGTGGAGCTGGTGACAAGGCGCAGAGGGATAGCCTGGACCGGGCCCTGTGCCTGGAGGCCGGGAGGCACCTGAGGAGGTGCCCGCCGGACGCAGCGACTGCTCATGGCCAGTGCCTGCCACGGACACCCCGAACACCCTGCCCTGCGGGCAGAGATGGGAGGATCCAGGTGCGACCTTCTAGAGTCCTCCACACAGAGAGACGAGGTCCACTACTGCCCGCCCCTGGGGGACGCCGGTCCAACCAGTTTCCACCCAGACCAGAACTTCCACAGCAGCTGGCAATGATGCTGGGGAGGGGCGCTGAGCAAAAGGCTCGGCCCAGAGCCCTGATGGTCTGTCCCCGGGGCTGCTGGAGCCCTGGGGCGCCTGTCTTCTCTCTCTGGGACCTGGTGGGCCAGGATGAGGCTGCCTCCATGGGGCCTCTGCTCAGAGCTGCCCCCTCATCTCTGGCCTGGACGTTTGGTGTCTGCAGAACGGCCAGTAATTAAAAGTACCAATTAATCCCTGAGGTTCAGCTGGGGTTCCCAGGATGTCATGCCAACCGCCTCGGGCCGCTTGCCAAGAGGCCCAGGCGGGGGCTGCAGACACACAGAGGACACACGGCCGCTAGGGCTCAGGGGCCCACGTGGCCAGCCCCCCAAGGCCAACTACAGACATGGCTTCCCTGACCGTCGGCGAGGAGAGCCAGACAGGGGATGGGCGGGGTGCCCTTCTCTGCGGTGGCCTGGGGCCCTCAGCAGCCCGTTCAGATAGGGACTTCCCAAGAGGGTCGGGCAGCCATGGTGGATGGGCTCGGGGGGCCTCTGCACCCAGAAGGGGTAGCCCTGCAGCTCTCTAGCCCTCCGCTGGCAGGCCTCATTGGCACAGGGGTGCCTGGCAGCCCACACCCTCTTCTCTGCAGGGCCCTGAAGTCTCTGCCAGGGGCTGCAGGCCTGGAAACCTTGCTTACATCAGCGTTCCCAGGCTGATGGTTGAGGGTCAGGGTCCTGCTCCAAACCTGGCCCATCAGATCATCTCCCTGAAATGACAGAGCCCACTCCGTAAAGGTGCAGCGTGTGGACTGGAGTGGGCGGGACAGGAAGGAAGAGCTAAGAGAAAGGGGGGCCAGGAGGGGAACTGGGAGCCGCCCCCACCTTGCCATCGGTGCTTTTTGCTGCCCCGGGGCCTTGGCACATGCTCTGTGCCCCCTCCCCACCATGCTCTTTCCTCTCTGGTCAGAAGCTTCAGGCCTCAACTTGTCACCTCCTCAGAGTTGCCTTCCTGGACCACCCCGCCCACACCCACGCCCATGCCCACACCCACGCCCACCCGTGGTGAGTTCTCACAGCTTGGTGTGTTGGCCCTCCTCAGATGCCAGCACCTTCTGGGCTGGGACTGTTGCTCAGAAAGGCCACCACACACAGTGGGCGCCTCATCAGTACAGGAACCAGCTGTGGCCCCGCCTCCTCTGCAGGCCACACCCTGGGGCCACTCAGGGACTGCCTGGCAGCTCAGGACACGAACCCAGGTCAGCACCCAAGGGTGGGGCTGGAGCGCACCTGGAGAATTTTACAGACTTCATGCCAGCCAGGGGGCTTTGGGGGCACTTCTAGGCATCAGCAGCCGGGACGAGCTGTGCCCTGGCAGGGGTCTGCCCGCCCCCTCGTGGGGAACGGTGGCCTGCACATACGTGACAAGCTGCCCACAGCACTGTGTCAGCCCTGGCCACTGCAGCCCAGGGCGCCCAGTGTGGTCACACGCCACACACTGTGACCTGGATCAGGCGCTGGGCTCCTCTAGCTCAGCCTCTTTTCCTCCAGGGGTCCCAGCGGTCACCGGTCTGCGGCGCCCCTCCATGGGTCAGTGGGAACAGGGAGAGGCCACCCTGCCCATGTGCCCAACACAGCCTGGGCTCCATTCTCCTCTTCATGGAAACAGACCTGGTGCCCAAGGGCACATCCGGTTCGGGGGGTGGGATCCAGTCCCCAGGTCAGGTCTGTCATCCCCGCCGCCTTCCCCCCACGTCAACCCTGCATCTACAGGATGCCTGGGTCCATGTGGGCCAGAAGTCCAGCAGCTGCCCCTGGGCAAACCCCCCCCCACCCCCCACCAACCTTGGGCCTCTGGCTGTAGGGTGGGGCCCCAAGAGGAGGGCAGGGGCTCAGGAGCGAAACCACCGCTTCGAGTGGACTGTGACCCTGCGGAGATGGGCAGGTAACGGGAGGGGAGGAGTTGGGACAGGCCCTTCTGGAGGCCAGCTCTCCCTCCACCGTAGGGGCCTTCTCCAGCGTCCTCAGAGCAAGGCGCCTCAGGGTGCTTTCCTGGGAGACTGGAGGTCAGGGTCACTGACCCGGGGCAAGTGGGGCAGCCCATCCCTGACCCAGAGGTGGTGGGTACCTGCCTCTGGGCCCTGGTGCCGGCAGCTCCAGATGTGAGGCTGTGGGGTCCCGGCAGCCCCTGGAGTCCGCTTGGCGTCCGCCTGAAACCAGGCTTTCTCCAAGGCAGAGTGTGAAGAATCCTCATTTCTAATGGGGTTACGGCCCAGGTGCTCGGGCTCTGTGGGTGGGAGGGGGGAGGGACCGGGTGCTGAGAGCATCAGGCTGAGGAGGAGAGGCTCTCCCTGCAAGGTCAGAGGCTCAGTGGCAGCGCTCAAGTTGGTAAAAGCATCATCGACTTTCAATTTGGAGTTAACCGACCAGCGCCTCCTACTTCTTAGGTTGCACCCCTGCTAGCCCCGAACCGGAGGTGCGTGGTTGGGGACTGGGCACCCTTGCCTTGGGTCACTCGGGTCGGGTGGGCCGCAAGTTCGGAGACAGGCGCGTTCGGAGTTGGCTGCCCAAGGGGTGCAGTCTGGCGAAGCCTGGGCGGCTGGTCCGTCGTCTCAGGGCGGGTTTGGCGAAAGAATCCGAGCCGCCCTCGGGGACCGCCGGGCCCGCGGCCAACTCGCGGGGGCGGCCTCGGGCGGGGACTCGGAGCCGCGGCCCGGCGCTTGCCTCCGGGGAAATGTCCCCTCTCCGACCCCGCGGTCCCCACCAGGGCGGCACACCCCGCCCCCTTCTCTCCTTGGCTGGCGCGCCCACCTCCTCCACTCCAGGCGCCCGGAGCGACCTCCGCCTCCGCCAGACCACCCAGGACCGCCCCGCCGGACGGCCTCGATGCCCCCAACCCCCGGATCACGTCCGGAAGGCCCTGGGCCCCCGCGTCCGGCCACGCCATCCGCCGGGCCGCCCTAGGGACTCAGCAGCTAGGGTCAGCCCAGGCCCCGCCCAGCGCTCCCGCCCCCTTTGGCCGCCGCGGCTCCCGCGGCCGCGCCCCCGCCGCACTTTCCACGCCGGGACCGGACCGGTCCTGAGGTCGCCCAGCTCCTGAGCGCGTGTCCCCTGAGCGCGCGTTACCTGGACGTGCGCGGCGTGCAGACTGGCACGCGGGAGGCTCCTCCACTTCGCGCCGGCCCTGCGGGCGGGGAGCCGACCCCCGCCCTGGGCCGCAGGCTGGCGGGCAGTTGACCCCGGCGCCTCTGGGCTGTGGGCAAGACGTCGGGGCTCGAAGCAGGCCGGGGGGAGGGGGGTGGTAGGCTTTTGAGGGCCCGCCTCCTCGCGCAGCTGGCTGCGCGGGCTGGGGGCTGGGAGCCCGGAGCCGGGACGCGCCAGCAGAGGGAGCGCGGCCGTGCACCCCGGCAGGCACAGGGAGCCCCGAGCGTCCGGAGCTCCCCGCCGCTGCCCCCTTCCCCTTCCCTCCCCTTCTGGAAGGGGGGCCCGCTGCGTGATGCACAGTCCGGCCTCCGATCCTCGGCTGCCGGGCGCGCCAGCCCCACGTGGTGCGGCGCCAGGCGGGGCGGGCGGGGGCGCCGCGGGAATCTCGGCGCTTTCTTTAAGGTGGGGGGAGGAGGCGGGGGGGCGGCCAAGCTCCGCCCCCGGTGGCAGTGGGGTGCGTGCCGGCCAATGGGGAGCCGGGCGGAGGGCGGAGCCTTGTGGCCGCCGCTTAAAGAAACTTGTTGCGGGTCGCCCCGCGGGGACCGATCTCCGGCGGCAGCGGCGGCGGCTAGCGGGCTGGGGTCGGGCCACCGCACTGCAACCTCGGGTCCCAGAGCGGCTGCAGCGCAGCGGCCATCGACCCGCTGCGCCTCCCCGGTGCGCGCTTCTCCGCGCGCGGCCCCGATGCTGGACATGAGCGAGGCCCGCGCCCAGCCGCCCTGCAGCCCGTCTGGCACTGCCAGCTCCATGTCGCACGTGGAGGACTCGGACTCGGATGCGCCGCCCTCGCCCGCAGGTTCCGAGGGTCTGGGCCGCGCGGCGGGCGCGGGGGGCGGCGGCCGGGGCGACGCGGCCGAGGCGGCGGATGAGCGCTTCCCCGCCTGCATCCGCGACGCCGTGTCGCAGGTGCTCAAGGGCTACGACTGGAGCCTGGTGCCCATGCCCGTGCGCGGCGGCGGCGGCGGCGCGCTCAAGGCGAAGCCGCACGTGAAGCGGCCCATGAACGCCTTCATGGTGTGGGCGCAGGCGGCGCGCCGCAAGCTGGCGGATCAGTACCCGCACCTGCACAACGCCGAGCTCAGCAAGACACTGGGCAAGCTGTGGCGGTGAGTGCCTGTCCTCAGGCCGGGGGCGGGGACCGGGCCCTGGGGTGCCTGGAGCTGGGAGGTGGCGCAGCGCCCGGCCTCGGCCCTTCTCCCAGTGGCTGTTCCCAGGGCGAGTCCTAGTGGAAAAACCCGATCTGGCCAGCCTGGTCGGGCGCGGGGTACAGGACAGATTGGACAGGCAGAGGGCAGCGGGAGGAGTGTGCCCCCGAGAACACGGCTGTAGTCCAGAAATAGCCCCCTCTAGGCCATGACTGGCAGGCTGAGTTAGGGGACCTCAGCTGTGAATGGCCCCAGAGCCTGGAGGCCTGTCCCTCCCAGTGGAAAGTGGCCTCTTTCTAGAAGCAGGACCCATCTCTGGAGGTGCCCCCTCCTTGGAAAGGATGCCCAAACCACCCCATTGCAGGAGTCTAGAAGCAGATGGAAGGGTGTGGTTTGCCTGCCAGCATCTCCCTGCAGCTTTCCCCTCTTCTCCACCTCTGCACCCTCAGCGGGGACAGAGGGGGACGCAGGGGGTGTTCAGCGCTGGTGCCCACATTGGCGTGATGAGGCTGGCTACTCTGTAGAAAGTAGGATGGCAATGGTGGGCAACAGCGACAGGACTGCTCTTCGTTCAGGGCAACCCACCCCCACCAAATGCTCTCTCCTGGGCTTGACAGTGGACGGCTTTGGGGTCAGGGCGCTGGTCCCCTCTCCTGCCCCTCGCCTCGCGAGTGGGCACTCAGACCTTGTGTCTTCTCTGCTCCTGCCCGTGTCCCGTTGCTGCTGTGCCCCCAGACCCTGGCCCGCAGGCAGTTAGAGGGGAGCTCTGGAAGGTTCGAGGGGCCTGTGTGTGTTCACAGCCTCAGCGAGGACCACTGGGTCGTGCCAGTGTTTCTGGAGCCCTGGGAAGCCAAGCTGCCCGGAGTCTCGGCTTGGCTCCCGGGAAGCCTCCCTTTGTCCAAGTGTATGCTCAGCTGGGTCCTGGCCTCTGCACCCGCCTGCCTTAGAAAGTCCCAAAGGGAGGGAACAAACAGGCTCCGGGAGGGGAAGTGAGAGGGGAAAGATGGAAGCGGAAGGACCTGTGTCTTTCCTGGCTCATTCCTCCGATCGCCCCTGGCTTGCTCCCGGCCATCCTCAGTGCAGGGGCGCACAGCCTGGGGCCCCCGCCCCCATGGAGGCACAGGCAAGCACACAGCTCCCCTGGACCTCCCAGGCTCGCAATGCGGGGCCAGCGCCCTGGGCGGTGCCAGCTGCCTGCTCATCCCGCCCCTGCCCTCTGTCCCCCAGCCTGCTGAGTGAGACTGAGAAGCGTCCCTTCGTGGAGGAGGCGGAGCGGCTGCGCGTCCAACACAAGAAGGACCACCCCGATTACAAGTACCAGCCGCGCCGCAGGAAGAGCGTGAAGACCGGCCAGAGCGACTTGGACTCGGGCGCCGAGCTGGGCCACCACCCGGGTGGCGTGTACAAGACCGATGCCGGCCTGGGGGACACGCACCACCACGGTGACCACACAGGTGGGCTCCCAGGGCCGGCGAGCAGGGCAGGGTCCTCGAGAGAACCAGGCCTTCCCCGAGTCCCCTCAGAAAGGCCCGTAGCCCTGGCAGGCAGCTATTCCGATGCCCATGGGGCCCACTCGGCCTCCTCTGACACTGGGCGCCTCAGAGCTCATCCTGGCTCAGTGCCCTGTGACCTGGGTGTTTTCTGTCCTTCTGGAAGGCCTTTCGGCTTCCCTGGCCTTTTTACTGGTTCTGACCTCGGGTTCACTCATGCTGCTGGGCTGGTGGTCAGCAGCTCAGTTTCAGAATCAGACTGACCTGGGTGGAATCCCGGCCAGCTGAGCAGTCTACGTCGAGCTGGCGAAAGCGGTGGGCCTGGGGAGACAGGTTTGGTGTGGACCCTGTGGTTGCCATGGGTGGGGGACTGGGCGCGTCCTCTCCTCCACTCCACCCCCACCTTGGTGGTCACGACGGGGCCTCCCTGGCCCCAGATCTTCCTCTAGAACAGTGCTTAACGGAATTTCCTTGGCCGCGGAGTGAGGTCTGGGTCTGGCTTTGCTGGAATTTCTGGGAACTATATGGGAACAAAAAGCCGTTGATTCCTACCTGCGGCAGTTAGCCGGGCGGGTTTTCCTCCCCTGTGTGCGTCGCCAGCCCAGCCACCCCCTACAGAAGGGGCATTCATCCCTGAAATGTGCTCTGTCCCCAGGGCAGACCCACGGGCCGCCCACCCCGCCCACCACCCCCAAGACTGACCTGCACCACGGGGGCAAGCAGGAGCTGAAGCTGGAAGGCCGCCGCCTGGTGGACAGCGGGCGTCAGAACATTGACTTCAGCAACGTGGACATCTCCGAGCTGAGCAGTGAGGTCATCGGGAACATGGACACCTTCGATGTCCACGAGTTCGACCAGTACCTGCCCCTCAACGGCCACTCGGCCCTGCCCGCCGAGCCTGGCCAGCCCGCGGCGGCCGGCTCCTTCGGGAGCGCATCCTACTCGCACTCCGGGGCGGCCGGCATGGGGGCGTCCCCCGTGTGGGCTCACAAGGGCGCACCGTCGGCCTCCGCGTCGCCCACCGAGGCGGGCCCCCCGCGGCCGCACATCAAGACGGAGCAGCTGAGCCCCGGGCACTACGGCGACCAGTCACACGGCTCCCCGGGCCACACCGACTATGGCTCCTACAGTGCGCAGGCCAGCGTCACCACCGCCGCCCCTGCCGCGGCCGCCAGCTCCTTCACCAGCTCGCAGTGTGACTACACCGACCTGCAGGCGCCCAGCTACTATGGCCCGTTCCCCGGCTACCCGTCCGGCCTCTACCAGTACCCCTACTTCCACTCACCCCGCCGGCCCTACGCCTCGCCCCTGCTCGGGGGCCTGTCTGTGCCGCCCGCCCACAGCCCCCCCAGTAACTGGGAGCAGCCGGTGTACACCACCCTGACCAGACCCTGAGGGTGCGGCCGCGGGAGGGGGCCGGCCAAGGACTGCCTCGCCCCGGCAGAGACACACAGGCCTCCGGGGTCTCGGAAGGTGCAGCGAGGGCAGGCGCTGCGGCTGCGTCAAGTGCCTGCCGAGGCCCGTGAGGAGCCAGGCTGTGCGAACGAGCCCCCTCTGCTTACAGATTTCCAGACCCCCATCCACGGACAAAGCCCTCCTTCTCTTCCCTCTCTCTTTGCGGGGACTGCGGCTCGGAAGCCCAGCCGGGCCCCACTTCCGAGCAGGCATGGGTTTTGCATCTCCCTGGCTGCAAAGTGGCAGCCACAGCACAAAAGACAAAAGGAGGGAAGAGGTGTGGGGGCTCCGGGCCCCCCGAGCTCCGGCCAGCCTTGGTACTGAGAACTCGTAGGGCCCACGGATGACATTCCCGCGGCCGGGAGGCGTCCGAGGGAACACGTCCTGGGACCAGCCCATTAGACCCGAGGTGTTCCTTGTAGTTACAGTTCTTCCGAGCAAGGTTTGGCTGTGATTAACACTTCTCTCTTTTTATTTTATTATTTTTTTTTAATTTTTATTTTTGAAGCTTCAATGTATTTGATTTGTTTTGAAAGCTGTTAAAATGTATTTATGTTCTGTGTTATTTTATCTGTAATTAATGAAGTAATCTGTGCAGAGAGTAGAATTTAAGACGAGACAGAAGCCGGAGAGCTGAGGGTGAGGCATGGGCGGGGCAGAGCGTGGGGGTCCTTGCTCCGAGTGGCAGGGCCCCAGCTCCGGGTCTCCCGGAGGTGGCTGGAGCCCCGAGGCAGGAGAAGGGGCTTGTCTTGTGGTTTCTCTGATCAGGTTGGGGTACCCCTGGCACGGGCATTAAGTCAAGGTTTAGGAGGCAGAGTGCCACTGAATTTCACCCNGATCAGGTTGGGGTACCCCTGGCACGGGCATTAAGTCAAGGTTTAGGAGGCAGAGTGCCACTGAATTTCACCCCTGCCCGTGGCCGTGCCAAGTGGTGGAGGCGGGGATTTCCTGGGACTCGGTGGCTCCAAAAACGCATTAATCTTGGCTCTTAGGAACCAGGCGCCACCTACAAGCTGTGAAACTAGAACCTTCTCCACTAAGCGTTTTTAGATTCTTAGTTTTAGAAGAAAAATGCCGATTTACCTGTCCTGCTTCCGCTGTGCGCTGAGCGACGATAACTGCCTACTTCCTGGAAAATTGTGCCTTTAAAACTTTGTAAATTTAAGTACATCTGAGATGTTGCTTCTTTTTACTTTTTCTACTTTTTCCTACCTTTTTCTAGAAAAAAAAATTTTTTTTTTTTTTTTGCATATGTCTTCCTGGGGGTGGGGGCAGGGGGCTGCAGCAACTCGTTTTTATGCAATCTATTTTTCGGTGTCAAGTTTGAACTTTCGCTGTCACTTACCTGCTGTGTTTCGCTCCTTTCTGACCAAGCAATGCTAACTTTTGTACAGATCAATTTGATAAAAATTAAAAAATGCTTTTTATCTACATGGGCTGCATTTTGTGTGTTGCTTCCTGTAAGCCTGGGAGCTGTGGGTCTCTGAGACCGAGGGGGTCCAGTTTTGAAGGGGGGCTCTATGAGAGTTAACCCCAGGCTCCCTGGGGAGGGGCCCGCTGGCCAGACCACCCTCCTTATTCCTGTGGGGGGCAGGGGTCTCCTCAGGAGGCAAAACGGGTCCAGATGAGCCAGATTCGGATGGCGGTTTCCTCCCGGGCGAATCCCAGAGCTGGTCTCTGGGTGGCTGACGGCATTTTTCGGGCGCTGGCTCGGAGCCAGGCTGGGAGCTGGATAAAAGCCGCCCCGCAGGCCCTGGGCAGGGCTGTCTGGTGGGCAGAAAGGGTTTCTAGGCAGAGACGGTTGTGGGAGCGGCAACAAGCGAGGGGCCTTTACCGCACACCCGGCTGGTGCAGGGGCTTTGCAGGCCAGGGGGGCGCCCACCTCTGAGCCGTGCAGACTCGGGTGGGTTGAGAGGGTTGAGAGGGAGATTATACTTCTCATGAGAACCGAGATACGCCAGGCAGCTGCCTCTGCAATTTTAATGGGGCGGCGCGGGCAGGGGGGCGCATGCCCCGTCCCCTCGCCGGCCCAGCCGCCCGCGTGGCTGCAGTCCAGGGCGCGTCCCTCGCCCTGCGCTGGGGAGCCGCGTCCAGGGCCTGCCAAGAGCAGCGTTTGGGAAGAGCTGCCCGGATTTATGAGGGTTCGTGAGGCCAGTGTGTGCCAAGCTTCCCGGGTGAGGCGGGTCTGGGAAGGGGTTGCAGAAAGCCAGGCTCACGGACGCCCACGGCCTTCACAGCCGGCTGCCTTTACGGAGCCAACCCCACCAGGCCTGTGCCCGGCCAAGGGCTGTCCAAGTCCATATGGCCCTCCCAGGCCTCGCACCGATGCCCCAAACCAAGGAAGGCCCCGGCGCCCAGCTTGCTGACAAGAGGAAAGGAGGCCTCCCCTGTGCTGCTCTGGGACGGCCCTGGTTCCCGAGGGCTGGCGGCTCTGCTGGTTTTGTCTGGACTTGGAGGGGCTCCTGTGAGTTAACTCCCCAGGGCCCGGTCTTCTCCTGCCGACTCACCCGACACAGGTGGGGTTCCCATGGGTTTCCGACCTCTGAGCTCCTGAGGCTCAGAGGTGAGTCCCCACCCCTGCCTGGCCTAGGGCCTGGAGACGCTGTGTCTTCGCCCCTCCAGGGGCCCCCTCCCCTCTTTGGGGGCTGGGCTGGTGGCTCACCTCCCGCCGCCGGCCCGGAGCATTTTCCAACATCACAGGCTGAGCCCACAGCCAAGGGTCCTGGAAGTGATGGGATCTTTGTCTCCCCAAATGCCAGACCCCTCAGTGGCACTCTGAGAAGGCACCCAGGGTGGATACCTGAGAGGTCAGGGCTGCTGGGTGGGGTCCCTGGCCTGTCCTGGTCCTCAGGCTGGAGAAGGATTTTTTTTTTTTGCCATCCCACCAGGCAACAGGATGCTAGCTCCCCCACCGGGGATGGAGCTCGAGCCCCTGCAGTGGAAAGAAGAGTCCTCAGCCCTGGACCCCAGGGAAGTCCCTGCTGAAGGACTTTTGATGAGAGCCTGGCTAACAACGTTCCCTCCAAGGTCGGCCTCGCCCAGCCTCGCCCCGAGTCCAGGAGAGCCAGGCTGCGAGCTGGTCCGGAGTCCTGTTCTTGGGAGGCTGGTCCCTCGGCCCACCCCAGGGCCAGCCTGGCAGCAGTTCCTCAATTTTCACTTCCTCACCCAGAAGCGAGAGCATTGCCTCTGATGTCGGCTGAGCAGAGTGCCCTGTTGAGGGAGAAAGCAGAACTGGCCTTCACGACCCCGCCCTGCTCAGGTGGGTTAGGAAGGCCCCTTCCTGGAACGACACTGGCTCTCAGAAGGGGACTTCCTGCTTGGATGGGAGCTCACAGCCCGCGTGGCGCCAGCTCCCGGGCAGGCGTGGGTCCTCTGGGCAGCTGCCTGGGGGAGGCCCAAACGCCCACTCGCCCGCAGATACCGAAGGTCGGGCTCGGGACCCACCCAGCCTGCTGCGACTTTGGGCCACGTTTAACGGACAGCAGCCAGGACGGGACATTACAGATGGAGGGTCCTGGCCTGGTGAGGGACTCCTATTTCCTCCCCGATGTCTGGTCCATCCACGTGGCGTCAGGTGGGGTTGGGCCGGGGGTGGACAATGTCTCCAGGTGGAGACTTAGGGCCACCAGACACCGGGCAAGCCCTCATGCCCTGTGTGGACAGCCTCCGTGGACACATTCCAGCAGACTTCATGGAAAACCTGTGCTGATCACAACCCAGTCTGGACGCCACAAAGTCAGTGGTGCCAAGTACCCCACCCTCACCCTGGGGCCAGTGTAGACCCAAGACAGGGCAGGAGGGGTGCTCTCCCAGGTGCTTGGGGTGAGGGTTCCTTCTTGAGGAAGGAGGCGTGTAGCCACACTCTGTCCCCAAACTCAGGCCCTTGGCCCCAACAGGGCGTGGGGGAGGGCCCTCCAAGGAGAAAAGCCAGGGAGGGAAGCAGCAGAAGGCAGAAATACACCCAGGGCTGTGGCCCGCTGCCACCAAGGACTGTCCTGCAGCTGAGAGCAGGGCCACGGTCTGGCCCCGAGGGCCCAGCGCATCCACCCCAGACCGCATGCTGGGCACCCAGGCTCTGAGGCTGTCTTCTCTCGTGCCTCTCCGGCTGGCTCCAGGCCAACTGGCCTCCCTCTGGGAGCCTTGGTTTCCCCACCTGTAAGATGGAAGTGACCCCTGATGTTCTGGGCAGAACCAGCGAGTTTAGGGCCTGAGTGGACGCTTGAGAGCAGCCCCTGGAGCCATTACCACCTCCAGCCACACCATGCGGCTCCAGGCTCATCGGCAGAATAAGGCAGACTTGCTGCTTAAAAAAATCAAGTGAAAATGAAATGGGCAGAGAATGTGCATTCAAAGGTGGGGAAGCCTGGGATGCCCGCTCCCAGCCCCGGCCTCCTGCCGCCCTGAGTGCCTGTAGGGAGGTCGCCGGGCCAGGGGCTGGAAGCTCTGTCCCTCTGAGCCCATGACCATGGGGTAGCGGCGGCCTCGCTAAGGTGCCCTGAGGATGTACTGAGAGAGGCCGGGGCCAGCACATGGACGAACAGGACCGGAGCCCTCCGGCCCCCTTCCTGCAGACCGACGTGTCCTGGGCCCCTGGGGTCTTCCCTCCCCTCATCTCCCCCCAGGTGCCCAGTGACTTCCTCAGCTCAGCCCCAGACCAGCTGCTTGAGGCCAGGACACCTTCCTGCCTCCCGCCTGGGCGGGGTGTCCCAGGAGTGGGGGGTCCAGTGAGCCGCAGACATCTCCCTGCGCCCCCCAGCTCTCTTCAGCCCCTGTCGTCCCTGGAGGGGCTGAGGCCAGAACGTGGGGGGCTCGGGGCTCCAGCTGCCCTGGGAAAGCACAAGGTCCCTGGCCAGGCCACTCTATGAGGCCCCTCCCCGGGTCAACTCGGCCCTGCTCACCCACTCCCAGGCCAGGGAGCTCCCCATGGGACCCCGCAAAGGGTTAAGGTGCTGGAGGCCGGGTGGAGCGCAGCCGGGCTGGTGCGGGGCCAAGAGCAGGCGAAGGCGCTGCATTTTAATGAATCATTATTGCCGGGAGGCCTTTGTCTTGCTTTATCCGGTGCACAATAAAAGAATTAATTAGACAGAAAATGGCAGGGCAAGGAACTGACAAGTCATTAAGGGCTGCTGAATGACCGATGAGATGCACGCAGGGGTGGATTTCAGCTCCGGAATCATAATGGCCGGGCGGGTGCTTTGTATGCGCGACCAGCCGGCCGGGCAGCATTGTGGGTCCTGCCATGGTGGCCACGCGGGCAGTGGGAATCGGCTGACAAAATCGATGTAATAATTTTTGTGTGTAGACACAGCGTAAATATTTGGCGGCAGAGGGGACTTAGGGGTGGGCGTCCTGGCCTCCAGACTCAACTCCCGGCTCAGGGGACAGAGGCCAGCAGAGGGGGTGCCCCCCACTCCCTGCACTGTGAGAAGCAGAAGGTGGGGGTAGGGGAGAAGGAGAAAGACTGAGAGGAGAGGAAAGAGGAGGAGACAGGTGAGGAGAGGAGGGGGGGAAGAGCCTGGAAGACCCAGAAGCAGCTCTCCCGAGAGCCAGGCTCTACCAGCGCCTGCTGCCGCTGTCATGGTTATTCAGACGTCACCAGGAAAAAAAAGTGCCACCTACAGATCCGCCTCTCCTACCCAGAAAAGCTGAGCTGCTCCGGGAGGGCAGAGCAGAGAGCCTGCGAGTTAGGAGTGCACCGGGGAGGGTAGCGGGAGGCTGGCCAGCCCCTCCGTGCACTCGCCCCCCCAGGGGGCTGGAGCTGGTAATTGCTAGAAGCCCCCTGCTCCTTCACAGAATGGCCTGTGCCCCGCGGGGTGTCCTCTGGGGGGGGGGTTGGGAGGGAAGGGGTGGAAACACTAGACAAGTCAGGAAAGGGGTCCCCCCCCGCGCAGGTGATGGGAGTGTGGGGGGCCAGCAGGGTTTGGCCCCTGGATGTTAAGCTTATGTCACAGCAGCTCGTGATCCGGCTGACGGAGGATGAGAGCCCAAGGCTGCGTCCCGGGTCTCAGCACTCAAGCCCAGGCCGGATAACTTCACAGGAGGGTCAGCCCCCTGTTGCAACCCCTGCCCCCACACAGGCGGAGGGTGGGGCCTCTGCCAGATCAGGGCTGCACGGAGCAGAGGCCACACCTGCTTCCAGATGAACTGGTCCTGTTGGTGGCAGGGCCTCTGGACACTCCCCCCACCCCAACTGTCGTGTGTGTGCGTCCCCTCTGACACACGAGTGTGGGACTGAGGCGGCCTAGACCCTCTGGGCATCACCCCCAAAAGGGGGCCTCCTCTCCCTTCTCCCCCCTTTCTGGGGCCACTGGGGTCCTCTGAGGAACCGGCTCACTAAAGGAGGGGGAGGGAGGGATGAGATGAACGTGGAGAGGGTCTGGGTGACTCTGGCTCTGGAAACCGGAGGTGTCTACCTTCCCCAGACAGGAAGA